TTAAGAGCTGAGCGATATTTTCACTTATTAAATGTCTAACGATCGCTATTACATACAAGTCATAAAGTTTGTAAATAAAGGCGAATGTTGAAATAGCGAACGAATCGGATTACGCTAATATGGCGAAAGTAGTAAGTATTCGTTTTTTCTTCATTTCACGTAATTTCAAAATTATGAAAAAAGCACAAAAGCAAAGGAGAAACATTAATTTCTTAGAGTCAAAAGTATTGCAACAGCTTCATTTATAAATGTTAATAAAAATTTTATACTATCGCATATGAAAATTGATAAATAAACCGAGCACTTTCCGACAAATATTTAAATTTAATAATTCCCGTTGAAAATCTAAATGTTTCACAGAGCTTATTTTTTTAAATAAATAGCTTGGCTAATAAGTTTTTAAGTTTTCAACAAATTACATCAACATTACACGATATTGTAAATAATTTCACTTACTTTTTATCATCCTCGGAATCGTGGTCCAAGTTGTCCAAGAAGGCCGAATCCTCGATTAAAAGTCGTGGACGTGGTCGGGGATGTAACGAGGCTTCGACTCTAAATAGATCGACAACATAGTCTGTGGATTTCTTGTGTTCTGGAGCTTGAACTGGGCAAAAATTATTGAAATTATTATGAAATTTGATTGGATTTCGGCAATGCCGAGCAGTGGCTAACGATCGCTACCGCAGCTCTAGTCTCTCGTCACCTCCCGCTCACGATATTAAAAATAATATTTGCTTATTATTCAAGCTGTCTTATTGCCTTTATTAGAATTATTAAATGCCAGTCAAATACCTATTTTCCTTTCTTTCTTTCTTTCTTCGTTTATGTTATTTGCGTGCGCTTTTACGCGTAAACGCGCGATAAGCTAAAAAATTTCAGTTTTAGATCACGAAGCGATGTATATGAACTTATGCTATCAAGTCGGGCGGTATGCGAAAATCCGCGACCTGATTTCTAATCTTGTTTAGCAAATTGTGACTGTCGCTAAGTACGAGGAAAACATTATTTTTTTCGTGCAAAAGTAAAAAGTTAATTAATATATCGTAATGAAATTTTGTTCAAGTTTCATGTGTCGAATGATTACTCTCTTCATTCAAACTTATGCGGATAAATGTAGAGAGAAATGTTAATTAAACAAAAATTCATTGGGGGCAATAAAGGCTTTTAATCATCTTAATTATTACTTGCAGTACATAATAATTCCAATTCTTGTGAATGTTTTACTACTTTCAATAAGAAACGCAATCTCTCTCTCTCTCTCTCTCTCTCTCTCTCTCTCTCTGCGTGTATTTACTTATGCGACTTATACGAAAAGTTTACGTATCGTAAATAAACGCTAGAGTGTTTCCTTATGATATTTAATTATAAGCACGTAAGTAAGCAATTTTATCATTTTTATATAAGCATAAAAGAATTATTACTCCTTGTGTACGAATTATATCTGGACAAAAGAATGTAATTATTTGGAAAGTGAAGGCTGAAAAGAGTAAAAGTTCGAATGTAATTGTTACACTTAAAAGCATAAGCTCTAGGCTCTTAACTTATCGCGCGTTAAACATTACATCGCGCTATTTTATAATTAAGATATTAGAAATTTTCGGCGACCTCTCAATATTATCAAAGCCTTTTGGACTTTTACACCTCCGCAATTATCGCAATTTTGAACGGTATGCGCCAGATTTATCGACAGATCAATAATTGATGGGTGAGAAGCGAGTGCTCGAAATGAAAATTTGTCGATATCTCAGTGGCGCATAATTGGGAGTATAACATAAGCGCGATACCGTGAATGAAAATAACGATTGCGAAAATAATAAACACCTACGGTGGATGGATGTTGCAATCGCTTGTTCCGAGCCGCGGTAGAAGCGAACGACCACAGCGAGCATCTCAAACAAACAAATCGCCCATTCACGACGCGATTAACGCGCTCTGACAAAATAAAAAAAAAAAATAAAATAATAATAATAGCGCAGGTCGTTGACCGCCATCGGCGTATGTGTGCCATTAACCTTCTTGCCCGCACAATTCGCAATTATTTACTACCTACGATATACATATCGGACCACGAGCGAGTTGCAACTCGCCGTCCATTACAAATTACGCGAGCCCCGTTTGTCACCGCGTTTCCTCAAATTTTCTCTCCTTCCGCTAGCAGCTCCTCTCACTCGACCAGTGCGCTTTTAAAAGACGCGCGATAATATCGAGATTATTAAGCATGGGCTTTCGAGAATTCAGCGAGCATCGGGGCAATGAAGAGATGTCGTCGAGTGTACAGTGGTGCCGTTTCATCATCATCATCATCATCATCATCATCATCATCATCATCATCATCATCATCATCTTCTTTGCTCTTGTATATTCTATGACAATGTCAAAATATCGGAGACGACGAGCTCGCGACCATTTGTCAGAGTCAAATTTTTTTCTTTTCTTTTCTTTGTTTTTATTTCTATTTTCTTTTTGTTTTTTTTTTCTTTTTTTTTTTTTTTTTTGTTTTTTTTTTATCGTCTATATAAACAGTTCGTTATCTCGGCTTAGCCACTTACCTTTCTCACTCGTGATAAAACAAACAATTGCGCGACGCGAATTTAAATATCGTTTTAACGTGAATTGTGTAATTAGACAAGTGGCATTTTACTTCTCTGCCTCGTATATGCCAGCAATTTACTCAACTATTTTCTCCGATAGTGACGCGCTGATAAATTTAGCCCCGATTATCTCCTTTTCTTCGGGCATTATCGTCATTATTATTCAATATCGGATACAATATCGGAAGCTTATTAAATTCATTTCGGCTATCTACACTATCTACGGTGTCTATACTATACGGCGGCTACTATTCGCGTTCTTCACCAAATTTAACTACTATTGTCGTATTCATTTATTTATTTTAGTTTTTTGCTTGTTTATTCCTTTCTTTCGTTCTGCTTTATTTTATTTTGTTTATATACGCGCCATTATAGAGCCAATACAAAAGAGCGATCCTAGTCCCGATTTTGTTTAAAAATTTTCACAGACTTAAAGCGATGTATAGCCGCCAATGTTATTATTGCCCACGCGGCAACAATAGCAATTAAAATGGACAAATCGCGGATTATTACTCACCCAATATTGGCAAGAGCTTGTCGTTGGGCCCGAGTTGATTGGCAAGATCGCGGCTCAACTCTTCGCACTCGATCTCCTCCGGAAGCTTCTTCCTGGGTTTGGCGAGGCTCTCGGTCTCATCCTCTCGATATCGTCGTCTCTCCCCAGCCAACTCTTCGGGCAGCTCCGTCTGGGAGGCAACGTCGTTCGTCGGCGCGTTAACCCTGAGCACAATCTCGGTCCTCTGCACGAGGGTGAGGCCCTCGACGAGGCTCGGCTGAGGCGAGCCACTAGGTGAGCTGCGTTTGCTACTGGACGAGCAGCTCGATGACTTGTCGGCTCGTGACTCGCTGCCCGTTGATCGCGTCGGCGACGAGGGACCGGAACTGCTGGCACTACTGCTGGTGCTGCTGCTGCTGCTGCTGCTGCTGCTGTTGCTGCTACTACTACTAATGATACTCTTGTGGTCCCAGCTTGAGCCACTACGCTCGGTCTGGGTCGGACTAGAGACCTTGCGCTCGGAGAAGACGTCACTCGACGTCGTTGTCGTTGTCGTTGTTATGACCGGTACCACGATCGTCGATGTTGGCGAGTCGCTGAATCTCGGCGAGCCGGAAATCGGACTGAAAATTTATCCATGCTTTGCTTTAATCTCAAGGACATATATTTGCTTTTGGTAGTCACTGTCCATCGACTCGGTAATAATACTCCATGATTATAATAGACGACCGGGGAATAGACCGCGGAGAGCATAAGTAAACCGTCGGTTGGCCAATGCCCTCACATCCGCTTAAAATAATCGACTTGACGGCGCTCAATCCTAATTATTCGATTATACGAGTTTAATGTAGGATTAGGATAGGTCCATAGGGCCTTGAACTGATATTATTTGTAAAAATAAAAAGACGAGTAGTTTTATTCGTCGAATGAGTATGAGTTCGCTAATACCGGAGCTTACTTATTATTAACTTTCGATAAATTTCGTTTAATAATGAACGAGTAATTTTGCACTCTCTGAGCTACATATTTAGCCGATGATGTGTCCAATATTGTCATATTTATAAGTGAAACTGCAATTAACGTGGAATTATAATAAATATTAAACGGCACGATATATCAAATAAATAAACAAATGTTAGTAAATCATCATTACGACGACAATCTAAGATTCATCCAATTTAAATCGACTCGTACAATAATAAATAAAAAGTTGCTTAAAACTTTATGAAATATTATTATCTGAAAACTTCAATCCAAACTGTACTTTCACACCACAAAAGGATGTTTTTTAGTGAAGTCGGCTAAGCAATATTATAACGTCGGCACAAAAATCAACTCCTTGCGTTAGATTTAATTTAATTAAATTACCAGTCGCGTTATTCCCGCAGCAAATTTAGAAATTAATTGTACGTTATACTTAGCCCGATCGAATTACCTTGAGCAGAGAAATAAGCATATCGAACGAAGGATCATTATGATAATTTTAGTATGATACGAGATGGAGATAAGATGAGCCATTGTATAATTTTCAACTGTTAATTCTGTCGATAAATTGACTCGGTCAATTACGTTACGTACTCCACACGGTGAATAAAGAAAGTATTTTCGGTGACCTTGCAACCTTTGCCTCGCGCCGCCTGTCGTCTAATAATCTTTAGGCTCAAATAATAACGGACGAGGTGAGCGCGGACAATTCAGGTCGCGTCGCCATATTCGAGACAAAGGCGAGAGAAGAGCATCGCCGCGGCGGGCCTACTCCTTCTACGGAACAACTCGTGCAATTAAAGAAGAAACGGGAATCACAAAGCGAACGAACCTCCTCGCTTCCGCGGAAGCCAGTCGCTGCTTCTCCGACACATTCCTCCGGTTCCGCATCTCGACATTTTTCGACGTTCGTGACTGCGCTCTCCCTATAAAAGTCCTCCACTAGCCTGACGTGGGGCTCGCAGCTGGCGGCCAACTTCCTCCTCTCCCTCTCCAGCTGCCTGTTCCTGTCGTTCAGTACCTCCACGCTCTGGGGCGAGAGTCTCTCTCGCTTCTCAACCCTCCTCAGGCCATTCTCCTCGGATCTGCTGTTATCCAGCATTCGGCTCTTTATTGTCTCGGTCGAGCTCACGTTGTGCAGGGATTTGCGAGAGAAGTGGTCGTCCAATCGGTGATGATGATTTTGATGCTGCTGATGCTGCTGATGCTGTTGCTGCTGCTGCTGTAGCTGATGATGATGATGATTGTGGAGGGCGTCCGAGCTCTGCGACTTGGAGAGCTCGTACCTCGAGTGTGACTGATGATTCTGCCTGGATTGGTACTGACCACGATTATTATGGTCTTTGCTACTACCATCGCTACTATTGCTGTTTCCGTTGCTGCTGCTGTTGCTGCTGCTGCTGCTGCTGCTACTACTACTACTACTGCTGCTGCTACTACTACTACTACTACTGCTACTACTACTGTTATTGCCGTTGCTATTGTTGGTAATGTTGTTACTGCCGTTGATGTTGTTACTGCTGCTTTTATTATTATTATTGTTGTTTACGTTGCTGCTGCTGCTGCTGCTGCTGCTGCTGCTGCTGTTGTTGTTGTTGTTGTTGTGGGAGGGATTACTGGTGTTGTTATTGACGAGCGGCTGCTGCTGGTGCAGCGTCACTTTAAGAAGGACGGGATCGTCTAGGCGTGCATTCGGCGACATTGTCCGCTTGTAGCTGCCCTCGCTATCCGGAGCCCCGCGTTCACGTCGATAAGCGAGATAAGAGGCCTTCGACTGGCTTCTGTAAATAAAGAAAGCAGAAATTCTTTTGTATTGAGTGTCGCACGTTAGTTACCGGTGAAATTAGCGTAATGCGAGACGTAAGTCAGGCGCGTGGGAAGTGGAGTGGAAGAGGTGTAATTCCCCACTGGGCGTGAACCTTGCAATAACGACACCGAACCGATGGTGTATAGCGTGTAGCCTACGATATTCTCAATGCGCTAAGTGCCATGTTTAATATGTACCTTCGGGCCTCTCAGCCTACATTATATCAATGCATTAGCATAAACTTTTCTGTAATGATCGGACATGTAATGTATAAAGCTGTGTGTTTCTATGAGTTTGCATACATAATGATCGAGTGCTCTTTGGGAAGAATAAAAAGGATCGCTTTATTAAAGTTAAATATGTCAAAGAGAAGAAGCTTGGCTAATTACTAATTCGTCACTAATGTATGAGAATTAACCTTGAAAAGATTTAACATACATTAAATTTCAATGTTCAATGTATGTGAAACTTAAAAATTTAATACTAATTTGATACAATTTTATCATATATTACGAAAGATGCTTAGTAATTATATAAGAAAAAAATTAAGTTCATTTATGCATATGATCGTATAAACTAATACATTGTATTAAAATTTTGGATACGGAGAAAGCATTATGTCGAAAGGCTTTCTATTACTTTCTTCATTGATTCAATAGACTCAATACTGACTTACACACGAAGGACGGATAAAATTTCATTTATTAATAATAATAAATGTTTCTTTTAAAATAAATAATAATTAATTAATTAATTAATTAATTAATTAATTAATTAATAATAATATTAGTTGTAATGTTATTGTTATGTAATGTTGTTGTTTTGTACATCTGCGACCTTAGGTCAATAACTAAACTGTCCATTATCTAAGTGAAACAACAACTCGTCTATGTTTCACTAACTGTGATTAAAAAATCCTTGATATTCTTAATGATTTTTTTATTTTTAGTCTTTTCTTTAACTACAATTGCAGTATCACTCATTTTTGTGGTAAATTTCATCATAATGTAGAATTAAGCATTTTTCATTCGCTTTATTTGATTTTATTCCAAAAACATTTCCAAGTATAGCATACTCAAGTATTATACTTTTATTTTCCGTAATCAGATTGAAATGTGGTATTTAAATTATTTATAAATTTTATAAATTATCTTTTCAGCTTATTATTAATATCGGAATATTTAAGCATTATCCATTGATTAAAATTATACAATAAATATAATTCCATCCTAATTATATTTATGTGAATTCTAATTTGTTTATTATTATTGAATCAGGATATATTCAATGTATATAATATTGTTATTGAAATTACTTATATACCATAATATTTATACAAAATTTTGTATATTGTAACCTTAACATATTAATATTTAATAATACATTATCCGATCGTCAAGACTTAAAATTCTATTACAGTAAATATATGATGAAAAACTATTCATTGTGTAATAAAATTTCGTTAGGTACTATATTATTACTTTAATTATTAATTATAGGAACTAGAATTCATATTGCATACATAATTAATTCAATTATTGATTTCATTCGTTTTTTTCAGTTCTATTTTTTAATAATATAGTTTTAATATTATTATTTAGTAAATAGTAAATAGACATTTAATTAATCAACATATATATGTATATCGTTTATTTGAATTGATAATTTTAATTTTCTTTTCGTCTACGTCTTTTTGAAAATATTCGTTAAAAAGACTTCAGTTAATAAATATCGTATTATCTAAAATATGTTGACATAGATTACATCAGTTTATTTTTAATAATGTTTATAAAGTATTATTAGCATCTTTATTAAATTGCAAATACGTAGCTCATAATTTTTGTAGCATAATCTATATATATATATATATATATATATATATAGAGAGAGAGAGAGAGAGAGAGAGAGAGAGAGAGAGAAAGACAGAGGTTATAATATATTTATAATATTATTAAAATATTTCTTGTATTTCTTATATTAATAGAGACACAAAAGCACATTCAGTTGTACATTCATGCGTTTCACGACAAAAATATCTTTAACGATAACAATTAAAAGCTAAAAGTAGAATAAACTGTATACGTAATCTCGAACTTTATGTATGTTTGACTTTCAATTTGTAAATTTTGTTAAATATCGATAAATGTATACTTTCATTTGATAATTAATATATAAACATCGTTAATGTAAACGTTATTTATTTATTTTTTTATTTTTCTTATATATATATATATATATATATATAGACGTCGAATGACTGTCAATAAAAATTAGCTTAATAATGTTATGCTGTAATTACATTAATTTAATTTTCCCTTCTTTACATTATAGAATAAACATCTTATTAGATTTTTTGTTACTCAAACATATCTCCATTAAAATAAAATTTCATTTTATTACATTCGTACGAACGATAGTAAAATAGTAATGCGCAGTGCAAATATGTTGGGACTGCGCACAATGTAATATTAGGTAGCAATCGCATTTCTCTTTCATGAAATTTCATTTTATTAGAATTTTCAATGAGTCTTTTTATTATTATTATTATTAAAATGAAACGTCGCTCGGATATATTTGTAAATTTCATTATGTAAATGCTACGATTGATCCTTAAAACACATATAATTTCACATAATCTCTGTTAATTAATTTTTTACTAATAAAAATATATTCTGAAATATATAACTGCATCACAAGTAGCGATGAAAAGATTACAGGGTATGCGCACCACAGATAATATGACATTACATCTTTTTATCTTTCGATCAAAAAAAGCCTCTTCCCCGAAGAAAGTATGCAGCGTATTAAATTTGATACATTTTGTATGGCCGTAGTGCGCGGCTTTAGCATTTCGAATTGCAGCATTTCAACTTCCCCTCGCAGGCGGAATATTTTATTTGAAAATCAAACTCTCCGCGTATATTTAAACCGAATAGCGAAAGCACTTAAGTCGGGCTCTGGAGTCTCGAGAGCATCGGCAAGCTAAAATTGTTTCACTCTCTCGACTCACCTCTTCATGCGTAATTCTCCGCACGTATTACCCCCGGTGATTCGCGAGACCATACGCGCACATCAAGTTCCTTTACTCCCGAGCTATCCCCAATTGAATAATAACGCGTCACTACTCTTGCGAAAAGCCTCCGCATGAAAAGTGAAAGAGGAAAGCAGCTGCCGCGTGAATTATCCACAATATCAACACGGTATGCCATTGGCCCTTACGAGGCCCATTTTGCCGACGAACCTTATCGACCAACGTTGCTTAGTCCCGAATGAAGCGATTACTCCTTCTCAGATGCTGGCCCAACAACGTCTGACTCGCTACGTCGAATTCCGCCCAAACGTTCATTATCAATAATAATAATAATAATAATAATAACAACTGCCATAACAATGTGTACGTTATTTTTAGATATTCATAGAAGCTCGTTTATTCAATCATTTATACGATTATTTGCTAATTTCAGCGATAGTCCATTGATATTTGAATAATCTGATTCTACAAAACTAGCATGAATTATTATTTTCCTATAAAAATTTAATTAACCGAATTGCACAGCGTAAGAGCTCGCAAAATACATACGTAACGATTGAAATAAAATTATAATGTTTCATAAATATATGAGCACTATCGAAAGTTCAAAAGATGCTTTCTATCTGCATATCATTAAACTTATATTATAGTAAGAGTACGAAGGAAAAAAGTTCATCCGCTAATAAATTTTATTCAATTTGTGCAAGCGGTATTAAAAGCCAAGGAAAGTTATATTATTAAAAATTTCATAATTATTACAACATCATAATATTCCGTATGGTAGATTATCGAAAGGAGCCAAACGTTTGGTAGGAAAACTTCATACACGATTATAATAGCGAAATTGGAAAATTCATTTCAATGCCCAATTACATTAGTAGGCTGCCTAATTTAAAAAAAAATCCTTTCTTTCTCTCTCTCTCTCTCTCTCTCTCTCTCTCTCTCTCTCTCTCTCTCTCTCTCTCTCTTTTCCTCTTCCTCGCTACGGGGTAGTAGAGAATTTCAGCTTACCAATCACAGCTCAAAGACATACATACGCGCGGACTAACAAGAACAAACAAATTCGCTTCCGGCTAAATAGTTGCGTACGACGACACTGTTCGTCAAATAAAATCCATTAGATGCAAAGTTAATAGTCTAATTTTGTCTATGCATGGTACGTCCATTAAAACGGTTAAATTTGAATGTGAAGGGCTTTGATTATTTTAAGGCAATAAATAATACAGAATTAGAAACGACGATGAGAGAGAGAGAGAGAGAGAGAGAGAGAGAGAGAGAGAGAGAGAGAGAGAGAGAGAGAGAGAGAGAGAGAGAGAGAGAGAGAGAGAGAGAGAGAGAGAGAGAGAGAGAGAGAGAGAGAGAGAGAGAGAGAGAGAGAGAGAGAGAGAGAGAGAGAGAGAGAGAGAGAGAGAGAGAGAGAGAGAGAGAGAGAGAGAGAGAGAGAGATTTTTTTTTTTTTTTTTCTTTTTTTTTTTTTTTTTTTGATTTTTCTTTTTTGTCGAATGAACGTGTCCCAACGTTACACACGATCGTGTGTTTATTTGCACAATACAAAAAGATTTTAAAATAACAGAATTTATATTTTTGCTCCGTATATTTTAGCAATGCCGTCATGATCGCCATTAGCAATAGCGAAAATTTGCCTTTTTAAACTCTAAACTGCCTGAAATCATAAAGATCCTTCATAAAGTGAATCATTAATAATAAATAATTGTAAATTTTCGTTAATTATCGATCGTTTATTCATCTTGCCTTATTCATTTTACGGCGTTTCATCCCAACTCGCTCCACCGATTCCACCTTATCACTTTTTCTTTTTGAGCCACGCATGCGCCACAGAAGAAGCATTCGCGTAGGTAATAATAAAAGTGAGGCGTAATAAGAGTAAGCATAAACGAATTTTTTCAATTGCATTCATAGGAGGAAAAACATGACTGGGCCCC